AGCAAACAAAACTGGAAATCGTTACTTCTTACCCTCTGTGGTCTTAGCCCGACGCTCAAAAGGAGCGCAGCAAATGTCACGGTCAGACAGAAAAGAAGATGTGGCTTGTTCAGTCAGTTTTTTTTCTTGGTTTCCAAAACTAAACAAAAAATAAACTTGTAAAATGATAAATGGACTGAACTTATAGAACTTTTCCAAACATTTCGACCACTCAAAGGCTTTACACTAGACTCACATTCACCTAGTCGCAATCATAAACGTTCACACATTTATACACCGATACGCATATCGTTAGTCGCTCACAACTAACGATATGCAGTTGTGAGCGACTGCGCACAGACTAAAACTTGTGGGATCTAAATGACTCATGTCTCTTAAGACCACACACAACTGTCTATTTTAATATGGACAGTGGAAACTGTATTGACCATCTGTAGTCGTCCTTATCTCCACCTTTGGGGGTACAGCCAATCAGTGGCAAGCAAACTGAGCTTCTCTCTTCAAGGCAACTGCGCCAACAACTGCAGCTCAACTTGGAATCAAGTAGGTTTTGTTTCCATCATCAGATTATGTGTGGAGGTGTTTTTACCAAACAAATCTATCATGACCTCACGATGAACTCTATAACAGGCAGAATTTTATTTAACAAAAATATGATCTGTTCTTTGTTTTTGTGTGCTGCTTTATGATTGATTTCAGATCCAACACAAAGCTTTTTTTAGTTATGTTGCCCAAGAATCATTTGTGAATCAATTAGGTATAAAAACAAAGTTAAAAAATACAGATTATGATAATTTTGCATGTGACAACTTGGCAAAGAGCTGATTTTAACTGAATCTTTGTGTATCTGCTCCTATTTTCTTTAGTTAAACCTAAGAATAATTCAACATAAAACAGTTTGGCAGGCATGAAATGATATGGCTTGAACGAAGTGATTCCCAAAGAGCTATTAGCTGAAAACCTGCCATCAACAGAAGGATGATGCATCTCTTACCTGCTGTGTAAGCTCTTTAAAGGATTTTAACTTTTAGTTTGCGTTACATTTTTCTAAACTGCCCTTAAATTATACTATCGTGTTCAGATACAAGCTGTTCACAGCTGTATTTTCTCACATTCTTTGAATGTAACGGCTATTTCTAGATTTGAGGTTGTTTGAAGTGCAAGTAACCAGGCTAGTGAAGGCAAAGGAGATATGTGTTTGCACATGGTGAAGTTATGCATGCATCAAAATGTCTTACTATTTTTTATTAGAAACTCACTATGATGCAGTCATTACTTTGAGTTTGTTTTATTTGGTTCCGATTATTTTTAAAAAACAGAAAAACTCCTTGTGAATAAAGTTTATTTTACAAACAATGCATCATAAATTTACGCTGTCAGTAACCTGCTGCTGTCTGTAAAGAAATATATTCTGACTTTAGCTTCTGTATTTATGCATCAGTAGTCTTGGAAATGACTGAACTGACAACATTAGGATGTTTGGACTGTGAAAACATTATTTCTCTGTATAAAAGAGATATCCTGTGGTGACAATTTTATGACACTATTATGGAGTTTTATTGTGTGTTTCTGACTTCATATTAGAATACATATACACAATAGAGTGGGTCTGATGAAAACAATGTTCAAATGTTCACCGCTATGAAAAGCAAAAGCATCACTGTCTCAATAACACATAAAACTGGATTTCATTTTACATTTATCTGATGAATTATTCATGCATTTCGCAAATTTTGTCTTAGGTAAAGACATTTGCAGCACCAAACCACCCCGTCCACTCAAGCACAGTAAAAAAATTCAGGTATCACTACAATAGGTTTCCATTTTTCAGCCTTTACTAAAATGAGATCCATTGCTCCTTTTGAAGGGAATAATAGATCAGAACATGGCGACCATCGCATGCAGTAATTCAGTCCCGTTTATGTATCAAATGAATCAGGTTCAAATATTAAATCTTTTCTGCACCAATGAGCCAAATTCAAACATTCCCCATCAATTCTTTACAGCTAAGTCACTAATCATTTGAGGCTGCTGTTGGAACAAAGCAACTGAAATTGTTTCCAAAGTCGTTTTTGCCAGTTTATTCATGGTTTCTACTTGTTCAAGTCGAATTAATTTGTCTGTGAAGGTAACACACCTAGTCGGGGCTCAAAAACGGTGATATTTACAAAATAACCAGCTTAGAAACCGATCCATATCTCCTCCCTCCTGACGTGTTGATCAAATTACGGACTTGGCCTGAATTCACGCCACATGATTTATATAAATATGTCATGAACAGAGTTTCCCTTTTCAGCAGAGCAGCCTTAAAACGTACCAAAGACGAGATGCTAACCAGCTTTTCCCCATACATGCTAGGCTACATGACGGTGCGGCATCGTCTCCATGGTTACTAATGGTTAAACACACCTTTTCCATAATGTGATATTTAGTATCTTTCTAATCATACTTATGAAGTAAATGAACGTTAATCTTAACTTGTAGCTGAGAGCTGCCATCCATCACCGCCGTATCTTTGCTCCTCGTTAAAAGTTAGAAAATAAAATGACAAGTTCAGTTTTCACCTTTGACCCAGACGACCACACAACACCTTGTGGCCATTTTTAAAGTGAAATCAACTAAATAAAAGTGACATTAGGTTACAACATGCATGTTTTTGACAGTCTCTACAGGAGCATACGTTGTTTTGACGTCCATCACAGCAGGTGGAGTTTCGAAGAACATGACGCCAAGTGCAAAGTGTTAAAAGGAATGAGTGAGATTTGTTTATTTCAGGCATCTCTATTTATATATTTTCACAATAACTATATTGATAACTCAGCTGCTGTTTAAATTACGTTAGAAATGGTCAGTAATCAGTAATTAGCCCACTAATATAGTTCAGGAAGTAAAAACAAACAGACACCAAGAGGTAAAACTTTTAGCTACGAACCAGAAACCATCCATGAACAGTAATCAGACATTTATTTGGACTTTCCATGATGAAGCTTTTATTCTGTACAACAGCCAACATTAGGATTCCAATCCAATGATCCACCTGATTTTTGTAATTTTATGTGTGCCGGTAATTGTACCCTTAGAAGGTGTTGGCTGATTTTCCCTACATCATTTTGCTGAAGATCATTTTGTCTGGTTGTTACCAGTAACAACCAGACTGACATTTTGCTTATGTTTAACTGAAAAACAATGACGGATGACATAAAAACAAAGAATCGTCTCTGCATCCTTTCAAAAGCTTTCTTACTCCTCCAGGTGCTTTTCTGTACAGTCATTTTTCTTAATGCATCTTCAGTATCACAGGAAGGAGGAAACAAGCAGGAACTATTAAGACAAATGATTTAGCACAAGTTGAAAGTGAAATATGAAGCATGTAGTTTATAATAAATCAATTTAATTTTGTTCCAAGGCTGATTAGAGGTTTAAATGCAAAATTTCACTTCATCTTTCTCTGAGATGAAGCTTAAAGGAGATACTACTGCCTTTACGTTTTTACAGAAAGTGCTGCTCGAAAATGATTCTCTTTTCTTGTTAAAGGGGAATTTTCTTTCCTGTATTGAAACATGCATGCTCAGAATAAGTTGATACAATCTGCTGGGTTTCCTTAGACAGAAAACATCTGAACAAATGTGAATATTTACATAGTTTAATATGGAATGTTTGTATTTCATGATTGGCTTCAAGTGAAATTTTTCTTTCCTGAGATTACCTCATTTAAATGCACTAAATCGAAACTAAGGTGAATTAAATAAACGCAATAAAGACTGCTGAACCAAAGGTAAATCTTTTATATACATATATAAAACTTTAGACAAGCTTTTTAAAAAATAATGAGCCAATAAAGAATAAGAGTCGACCTTTCCACTGTTTTTAAGGCAGATAATTTGTAAAACTGATAGACACTTGACAGTTCATCTTAATCAGAATAATCTCAGAAAGTTACTTTTAATCATTTCTAAACTCTAATTCATTACACAGAGTGACAAATTTAAGGCAGTAATGTTAATTTGGTGATCGAGGTTTACATGTAATGAAAGCATAAATTAAATATTTCAGATAATTGGCACAAAAATATAGAATATTTTTTTTTATAAAGGCTTCTGTGCCATCTCTACAGTTAGCCCATGTACTGTACAGTAGCTGCACTAAATACTGGGGTTTGGCTCCTTCTGCATGAATTACTGCATCAATGCAGCAAAGCGTTACGGTGCTCAGCCTATGGGGAAGGACGAAATTCAGCCTTTATTTCATCTCAATATAATGTCTCATCTCATTTCTACCATATTGAATAGTTTCTCTTTTGGATGTGTGAACTAAAATTTGACTTTGGTCTTGATAAGTGCATCTTCTTCTACCACACTTTTTCCTTTCACTCAACTTTTCCTTATTGACCTTTTTTACGGAGGTTATCAGTAACTCTCCACTAGACCAAACTCTTCAATAATACCCTAATTTAATGGAAACTATTCTGTATTAGGACGTACATGCATGGGAAAATACATCGGGTTAAAAATGTTGGAATTTAATTTTCGACTTGGAATGATTTTTACACGTCATTTCAAGTGGGTAAGTCCAAACTTCATGGTTCACGCCAAATGTGACACCCCTGCAGGTTTCCAAATGTTTCTCCACTTGGTAACTTGATTGCAGGGAAGCAGGCAGTGACGTGTTTACCACTCACAGCTTCCCACATCCAAGCATAGCAAATGTCACCTTGCCCCTCCAGTTAAAAGTTTAGACCTCAACTCTGGCACCGGTTCCAAAAAACCAAATTAAAGCAAATTCCTGAGCCCGGAACCTGACCTCGGTCTGAACGCACTTAAGCCAAAGTGACTGCCGCACCCTGGAGCCAGAAAAAGATTGAGAAAATTTGTTGATATGAACGCATGGCTGCGCGGTCAGCCACATTTAACAGACCTGATGAGAGAGTGGGATATTTGCCTTCTGCATGAGTGAGGATTTGAGTTAGCGAGTCGAGGGAAATGTGGGAGACACACACTGACCTGCCAAATGAGGGGCGCAAGTGACGATCACAGCCCTGCACAGGAAGGTGTCGTCGGTCGTCATGACCCTGGCCCACTCGGCGTCCTGCGTAAAACGGAAACAAACTTTCATTTTGTGAAGAATTTACTAGTGGACGCCATCTGGAGAAGCATGCAATAGTAATTTGTTGTGGGATTGAAATCAATTACAGAAAGTACAAACAGGATGCAACCAAGCTGGGGTTACAGGTTGACCTTATATAGTAAATAACATGACCGTTTCCTCAGTACATGTCTATTTTTAATACGTCTGTTGAAATTAAATTCACACCGGATGTTGGAAACAACGCAAGTAAATTCCCATAAAAAAATGAAAGCCAATTAGTTCACTAATTAAGTGGCAGAGAAAATGACTTTTTACCAGAAGTATTGCACATACTTACAGAAATGTAGTAAATATTTTGGCCTTTTTTGGCAAATGCTCTGCATGGAGAAACTAGTTAACTACATTCTGGAGAATCAGAGAATTCGTGATGTTTTAGTGTGAATTTAATCTCACTAAAACAAGTGTTTTATACCCACTTTTAAATCTTAAAAGATTGCTTAAATCCCTTAACATTTAAACCATCTTTAAATCTGAAAAGTTCTGGAGGTCTTGTCTCCAGAACTTCTCTGATGTTCAGTTTTTTTTATAGATTTTCAGTGGGACACAAGTTACTTTTTTTCTCTGAAACTAATTAAGAGTTTCCTTTGTTGTGTGTTTATGAGTGTTTTTATCAAAAAGTCCTGGTATATTTCTCCATTGGTCCTTCAGCTATATTAATCTGTACCTTATGCTGCAAGTCAGATCACACTGTGGTGTCAATATACACAAATTTTACTTTTGGTATATTATTTTCTGGTGACAATGACATCAATATAGTTCTTCTTAAATCCCACCTGACCTGATAATATTATCCCTCCATTTCTCTCCAAATCCTCTGGGACAAACTTTAAACAACAAACCTTCAACAGTGGAGTCTTGCGCACCGAGTGAGCGCGGTTCACTGCTTTACTTATCTTCATGGTGAAAATGGTAAGTTTCCAATTTGAAGCGAACAAAACAAACCAGACTTTCTACACCTACAAGATACAGTTTAAATGGAGTAAACAGAGCTGTGTAGATGTGCCCTAATACTCCCTGTAAGTCGTAAAACTTGCTTAAATATTATTTTTGTAAGACATTGTGTGTCAGTGGTTTGCTTATGGTAAAAATTACATCGTTTTCTCATTTCAGATTATAGCTCCCATCACACTCATGCAGCTGTAACCATTTCCGTTTTGTTTTATAACTGTAATATGTTTTTGTTTTTTTTTGAGTCCCTTCACTTTTACTAATCGTACCACTCTGTGTTACACTTTGGTAATGAGAAACCGAAACTAATGAACCTTTAAAAGCCATTATTTGATATTGAACCAGCTGGTATTGATTTGCACATAGCAGCAGACAGATTTCTGCTGTTTTTTCAGCCTTCTTGGTACATGTTCGCTACATATTCCCCGTCCAATTCACTTCATTACACAACTTGATTTATGGACTAATTTGTTTTGATTTTTTTGTACGTGTGGAAACTCCAGTTGCTCTGGACATGTGGTGTGACTTTCATGTCAACAGAAATATTAGAAATATATGTACTGATCTAAATTATGCTTCTTTACCTGCTGTGCATATTTGGTCCTGAATTGTAAACTTCTTCAAGTAAAGCTGAGTATTTCTGCTAACCATTACGTTTGTGCTGGCACTGGAGAACTATCAAATGCATGAAATAAATCTCAGGGAACGTACAACTCATTCCCCAAGCATTGACAGCGGCCTTAAATAGCTTGATCTTTCACAGAGAGACGACTCTGACCATTACTCTTTGCAACATCCCTCCACATTCACTCTTCTGTTTAGCTCTCAGTGCAGATTTTCTACACAAAGCAGGTCTGGGGATTCAAATGGAAAGCTGAATTTGAGTCTGGTGAGTCATATCTTTAGTGATTTTTTTATGTTTTAGGTCACTATCCTGCTGAACGACCCAGTGACGATTCATGTCCAGCTTTCTTGGAAAGGCCATGACATTTTTTTTTTTACTCTAAATGTCAAAATACTTTCAAGCAGTTTGTGATGTTGTGAACTCTATCTGGGCTCTCAGAGCCAGTGAGACAGAAAGAAGTACAGCAAAAGCACGTCAGTTTTATCAGATGTTCTCGAAAAAAAACTCTGGATTCTGGCTCATTATGTGTTTAGATGAAACTCCATATGGCTGCAGCTCTAAGTTGCACAAAGAGGACAGCATGAGTTGTGCATATTTCCCTTCACTGTGTCAGTGGAAACTGTCAGATGACCAGGAGGAAGAAGACAATGCCACACGTCGTCTATATCGACTCCCATGGAGCAGATCTGGACCAAACGGTCATGTACTGTGGACACGTCGAGTCCAAACTGGCACGAAAATATCAGCCATGTTGTTCGACTTTCAACTGCAGAACTATCACATTTTCACACGAAGTCAGGAATGACTTTATATCGTCCCCGTTTCTCTCCAGCGGTGAAAATCATCCATACATTAAATAAATTAGTGACGTGCATTTCCTGAGATTAAAATGGCATTATTACTTCAGATACGGCAGTCAGGAAACCGACTGAATTAGCTGTTCATAATAAAGCAAATTGCTCTAACTGAATGCCATCCATGTCATCATGAAATGCAAATGCACCAGATTAACATCCGTCCTCCCCAGTCAGGCTGGCAGACAGCATGTACCACAAGACTCCTGCTGGTCCACTTCTTGTTGATTCTCCACACGGGAACGAAAAATAAATGATTAAACTGAGCGAGCAGCACTTTCTGAATGAATCACAGGCTGTGAATCACAGTTACAGCCACTCTTTCCAATTTCTGTCAATAACAGAATATTTATTGATGCTCTGCGCATCCGAGTGGAAAACAAGCAGCTTGCCTTTACTCGGAGTAATCTCACAACAAATTGTTAGAAAAAAAAAAAAAAGGTCCAAAAGTCGAGACTTTAACGCCAGACATATTCTGACTGATGCTCCACCTCCTGCTACTGTAACTTCAAGTGCGATCTGCACAGTTAGATTACAGTAGACCGTACACAAAGGCTCAGGTTTAACCATCCAAGGCCTCACAGATGGGTCTGTGTAATCCATTTGTATGCCAAGTCAAGTTCTGAGGGAGACGGGCATCCAGAAACTCTGGGGACTGACATTAATTTTGATCAGAGAAAAGCACAGACATTCCTCTCCAAAGTGAAACTGCCTTCATCTTCATGAAGGAGTCCAACGAGTCTGAAGGTCAGGAAGGATATAAACACTCCAGAGTGTTCTGGTCCTGCCTCAGGGTTGGACGTGCTCAGAAAAGCTCCAGAGCAAGCTACCTGGGTCGCCGCGTTTCTATAACAACCGTAGCAAAACTTTTTCCAATACTTTGTCGGACGCGACTTTGGAATTGGTTGGAATGGATTTTTACTGGCTACATTCATATGAATTGTGTTAAATAGGTTGTTAAAACAAACTAATAGTAAAAATATGGTGAAGATGATTTACTGAAGTTCAAACTGATGCTTGAAATAATACCTGAAAAGGAGTTGAAAAGGTTCTTCCATCGGTCATAATGTCCTTATATCCCCTACTCCAGCGTGTCTCTGCCTGGCCAGACAGATTAAATGAGGAGCAGCAAAAGCCAATGAAGAGGATAAGCAGAGCAGAGCTTTCTAGCATCTGATGATGTCATCCAGGGCATTTTAATGTGAAATGTCTGCTCACTGGAAATCGAGGCTGTCAACAGACTTCAGTCAGAGGCTTCATCAGATTCACTGGAAGACTGACTGCTATCAGAAATCCTTGCTCACAGCATCAGCATCCACAAAAACTCTCTTAAAATACGAGTTACAACATTTAATTGCCAGTTGGGATGAATTGAATTCAGCTGATATTTTCCATTTAAGTCAATAAAGTAATCTCTGTGTTAAAGAGTCTTTGAAGGATGATTTTGTAGCTTCCAGCACGTTGATTTAGAAACACTAATACCATGATGACGTTGGCGTTCTGCTTCGGATTGAAATGCATCGCGCTGCTGTTCTGGGCGTCTTTCAACAGGACCATCCTGGGTGTTAACACAACCTCCCCAGCTGGGAGAGCTTTTGTCCGCGCGCCGCCGCTTCGGCAGACGTGAAGTGGAAACTCTAAAACGCCCGCGGCTGAGAGTGTCGGCGTCAATAAGCGTTAGCACTTTGACAGACGAGGCAAAATGTCAAGGTTCTGCCCTGCCTCTCACCCAGTTCACGCTGCACGCCAAACTAAAAGCTTCGGCTAACCTCGACTGGAGGAGGATCTGGCGGATGCATAACAGATGGATTTTCTTTCATGTTGCAGTCGCGTTCTCTCTTCCGTAGCTCAAAAGGCAACAGAACTGCAACAAACTGTCGGTGACTTGGTAGTGGAGTTGCCTTTAAATAGAATAAATTGCCCGTTTGTTTACAACCTTTTCACACCACTTTGGATTTTAAAAAAAGTTCGTATGAGTTTTTTATTTGCAGTTTTTAACTGGAATGAAAAATCAAGCTGCAGTCTCTTCTTAAGAAAAGAAAAATTTGACCTTTCTGAGCAAATGAGTTTCAGGTTTGCAGCCTTCTTATAATCCCAGAACAATTGGACTCAACTGGTGAGTTTGAGATCGTCTGCTTGTAGCCATCAGAAAAATGTAAAATTAATCGTATTAATGGTGATAAATCGATTATTGAAAAAACTGTCTACTAATTTAGTAAGCAATAAATTAAATACAGATTAAATACAAACTCAAAAAATGCCAGTTGCTGAAAAAAACAAAATATCCAGAGCAGTAATCAAACACAGTTGTATAAAATAAATACACATATTTAAGATGAAAAGACCTTTGTAGAAATGGTTTAACCAAAAGTCCTTGGCTGGTTTAGTTTTAGCTTGGCCTGGTTCAAATTCACTAAAGGAATGTAATTTAACCAAAAACAATGTTTTTTTTTCTCATTTACAAAACTAATGAGAATATTTATATATTTGCACCTTATAATGCATTTCTAATATTATACAAAAATTCAAAGTGATTAAATGAAAAGTCTGTAGAATGTGCCAAATTTTTATCCAAATACTCAGTCATCAGAATAATCAATTACTAAAGTAATTGAATACTAGAATACTTTGGTTTGCAAAGGAGTTTGGGTCAAATTAAAGATTTTAAGGGCTCATAGTCTGGTGGTTACATATTATTATGAACTTAAACATTTTACGTCTGGAGAATTCAAGATGAAGTTCTTGGTTTCATCTAAACACTGGGAGGAAATTTGTGTGGAATAATGTTTTCCACTTGTAAAGAAGAAAAAAGCTTTCCCTCTGAAAACTTTAAATAGTTTGGAGATCACCTTGTAGCCCTCCCCAGACGGAGTCGGTCTGTTCTTTAAGGTCACCGCTAATGTCTTAGCATGTCAGGATTGTGTTAACACACTTCAGACCAGCAAACTGTGAAAAACCAAACGCATCCAACAGCTTCTGACTGAAACCCCGTGAGGAAAGGGTGTGCTTACTTTCTCCTACTTCAGCTGAACTGCAGACGAATGCTGCAAAGGGTCATTCTGTCCACTGGGGCTTCTTGGAGGACATGAAATTCTGTACAACATGCCATGTTGAATATTTAAAATTTTAGATTCCGTGAATAAATAAATAAATACATTAATAGCCAGCATGACCTGCAGGAAACATGTAATGTTGATGGGGTCTAATGCGCTCATTGCCCGGGTCTCTCAGCTGTGGATGAAGGGGAAAATCAGGCGGAACAGAGAGTGCCTTCACACGAGACAGCCTGTTTCCCCAGTGAGGAAGCTGTTATCTCAGTGTCACGCCTCATCAGTCCCCGAGTGAGACGTTACTGTACTCTACCTGCCATATGGCCGTCACAGCAGAGCCCAGCCGGACGTTCTTCCAGCCAACCCGCTGCGCCAGACATTCGGAAAGTTGTTGGGTGCCTCCCTGTGGAGAAACAGATACGACACCATGAGTCAGGCCTGACTTGGTGCATGCTAATGGCCTTTCCTGGACCAAACAAGGGACAGCGATCCAATTTACATTTCATGTATGGATATAGATGTTTTAGCATGAGATTTCAAGGCTATGCAACTCTGGAAAAAAATTGAGAGAGCACTGGACTGAATCCTATTGAAAACCTCGTGGTTGTTCCACCAAATATTGAATTCTGAATTAAAACATTAGTATTGCTGTTTCTAAATGAATAGAAACTTGTTTTCTTTGCATCATTTGAGGTGTGAAGGCCCTGCATCTTTTTCATTATTTTTGATCATTTCTCATTTTCTGCAAATAAATACAAAAGTTAGAACAAAGTTCATTTTACTCAAACGTATTCCTATGAAGAGCTAAATCAGAGAAACTGATCATTTGTAGTGGTCTCCTAATTTTTTCTAGAGTTGCATATCACTATATTTGAGACTTTGCTACATCAAGTGGTTTCAGGCCTGTATGCATGTTCATGTCAGCTTAGAGTCAGGTGTTTACTTTCTGGCTCCTGTTCTTACTCTGTCAGCTTGACATTTCTCCAGAAAACTGTCAAAAACTTCATACTATGCAAAACATAGGAGCATTGAAAAGAAGCAGCTGGAAATCTTGATTTTCTACAATAAATCCGTCTGTTTTGACTGAACTGCAGTGATCGAGGTGCTGAACTGTCAGCATTTCAACTCCATCAGGACGTTTGAAGTTGGTTTTCTCAAGTTCTGATAATAATCTTGTTCAAACACAAAGAAGCAACAAAAACATTTGTGATTCAGATTCAAAATCCTTTTTCAACAAAATCTGCAGGAAAGATGTACAAACAAGACATAAAATTTTTTTTTAAAAATCACAAACTCCAAAAGAGTTATCCATCATAGCCACACCACAAACTGTTTTCAAGACTCGTTTTACTGACGAAGCAAAGTTTCCAACTGATTTACGACAGGGACACGTTGGCAGTCGGTCACAGGGCAACACGGGGACGTCTGAGGGCAATTTAGAGTCAGCAATTATTTTAACAGTCATGTTCTGGAGAACCAGGAGAGAAATAATTATCAGCATGAACAGAAATATACCTCATTTTGCATTTAATAAGTTTGTTATGAGCTTTACTTTTCAAAGTAAATGATGAATTATTGAAGTAAAGTCACAGATTCGGCTTCAAAGGCTGATTCAGATCTGAAAGATTTATTTTAAAATGATAAAATCTGTAAATCCTAATGTTTATGTTTGATGCTTACGCAATCTTTAGGCAATCTGAGTCAAATCAGATGATATGTACCTTTGATACATTTTGCTCAGTATGCTGCAGCTGAATGGCAATAAAGTGTTTCTATGTCTTAATTTTCAGATGAACCTATAAAATTATCCTAAAGAAAAATAAAACTGATGAAGTAGTAAAGGTGTAAGATTTCTTTCCTCTTTCGCTACATCTGCTCCTGATGACATTTACAGTATCATTGCATCTCAGGCGGTCTCCATCTTTACGGTTATTTCTTCAGGGCATATCTGGAATTAAATCATAAAAATGCTGCTGAAAGTAAAGTGGAATCTCAGACAGAAAGGAGAAAATAAAAAAGCCTTTTGTGGAGGTTTGAACCAAAAGCTGTGCTGCCATTTTCTGAATGACCTTGTTAATCCATTAGTTCTCACTGGTTCTCAGCCATTTCTACACTTTAGTGCTGTAGGAGGAGAGAAAGAGAGAGAGAGAGAGCGCGCAAAAACAGATTACAGAGGAAACACTGGCCTCATGTTGAGGGAATACAGAGAAAAGTAGCAAAAAATCCACATCAAGTTTGGAGCCAGGGGTGTTAGGATGCTGTAATTCAATGTTTAGAGGCCAAAGAAAAGCTGCGTGTTCACTGAGACAGAGCAGGCTGTGATGAACGGGCTCGGCTTAACTCAAGAGGGGAGATATTCGGCTCCGTCTCCGGTTCTTAAAACTGCAGCCGAGTCTGAGTGGGAGGACGTGAGGGATATACCTTTATCTTAAACTCCTGAGCACAACCAGGAGAGCTTTCCAGGAGCGCCAGGAGCCCTCCGGCCGCAGCGGCGTACATGAGGAAGAACAGAAAGGACATCTGGGACGGCTCCACGCCGAAGACGGACCTGCTGCACACTCCCAGCTGCTCCTTCAGTTCTGCCACACAAGAGCGGGTAAAAACAAGCGGTAATCTGAGCCGTTTCCCTGCCATAACAGAGCGCCACTTACTTTTACAAGTTGTAAAAACAGCACAACAAAAAAGATCCACGGTTCCACTCGAGGAGGCGACCATTACCTGTAATCATCTCGTCACTTTCTGAGTCTCCTTTCATTGTCAAGTCGATAAATTCAGCGCCACAGAGAGTCATTGCTTTTAACAAAAACATATGATTAAGGCTTCGGAGGCCAGAAGTCTCCTCACATCAACCAGCAGCACAAACTGAAGCAGCCGATTCTCCTGAACGTCGCCTACTTAGGCCTGTCATTGTTAAATTTAAGACAAGATGCATCATCAGAGCAGCCTCTTCTTGTCATAACAAGCTGGAAAGACAGATTAACATGTAGTTCACCCACTAGAGAACAAAATGTCTCAGCCAGTCAGTCAGTTTGCATCTTATACACAAGTTACTACCTTTACTTTAAACCCAAGTCTCATAAGACTCCTGGAAGGTTTAAAGTAGTATTAACTCTACTAATATGTTTCTTCTGAGCAGAATTAACATCAATGTTTTGAAGAAGATTTCTGACGCGAAAGGTCTGAAAGTCATCACCAAAAACAAGCAAAAAGCTGGCCAGGTGGAGCCACTTAAATAACAACCCGTCTCATTTCCCACCAGAAACAAACAATGTTTGAGTAAAACTCATTTCAAATCATAATTTAAATGTGAAATTTAGAACAAACTGCAACCACATCATCTCCCATTGCTGCCAGCAAGCAGATCGACCAGCTTGAACAAGATAGCTGCAAATTAAACAATGCTAATCACAGTATGCAGTTCATTGTAGCACATACAGAACGGGGATGAACAAAAGTAACGAAATTATGTCCTGTGTATTTGATGTAGTTTATAAAACAGTGGATGTTTATGACGGCTGAGAAAAAACTTCTGCTAAGATACCTATAAATATGTTGGAATAGTTTTATCCTCTTCATCGCTTGTTTCAGCCTCGTTTCCACATTATCGCCCATAAGAGTTTGTGAATCATCAAAGTCATTTTTTGGTCTAAAACTTACACGGTCGACATCTTTGCATCTGAAACATTCCCTCTCTTAGCTGGAGCATCTCTGGAGATGATGATGCAAAGGAAGATTCTTCATAACAATCAGGAAAATTGTGGACAATCCTGACCATCATCTTCATAAAACAGAGCATCTTCAGTCAGAGGCTTCTTCAGATTCGCTGAATTACAGACCGCTACAGGAAATCTTTCATCCCAACATCTATAATACTCTGAAGAAGCTAAATTAAGGAGTTACAACATTTAATTTCCTCTTGGGATTAATAAAATATTTTTGAATTAGAAAGTAATTTCTTCAGAATCAACATGAAAGTAAACATGTTTACCTTTAGAGAACACAATTAGTTTAACATCTCCTAAGGATCTAATCATTTTTAATATTTTTGTACAGATCTGTTATACTAATTTATTTTTTATTCTTCTGAACCGCAATTCAACAGCAATATACATTTAATCTGTTTATTTTCAGTAAAGTTTTATTTACCATTTTGTCAGTTTGAGGTCATTTCACTGAGTTTTTCCTGTCGTCAACCGTCTAATTTTTTCTTCATCTTTTCAATACGAGCATGCAGCGTTTTCACTCCCACCTTCATGCATGTGACGTCCTTGTCAATATTCCACAATGGTTTTGCACTCAGAGTCACCTGTTGAGTGAAGAAACTCCTCTTACGAACATAACAGACCAGCAGCTTTGCAGCACAGACAAAAGGCCTCAAAACAGAGAGACCTCTGGTTTAACAGGCTTTAATGATAAGTTAAAAGAAAGGTCATGGCTGTGTTTTTACAAAGTTTAATAACAAATTAAGAGAAAGAGGCTAAATGAATTTCTGATGTTCATAAATGCTATTAAGAAGCACAACATGAAATGGTCATTTTGTTCAGTTTTGTGTTTTTAGGCCTGCATACAGTAAATATTTTATCCACGTTGAGAAAAGATCTGAGCACGAAAGACACCAAGAAAACAAGTTATATCTGCACATTTTTAATTTAGTTAATTTCAGGGTCTGTAACCAGTTAACCGCAACTACATATTGACAAATAAGTAACATATTTAAATCAAAAACCTTTTTTACTGCTACATTGTTGAATAAATACAAACTCAACTAATTTCTTTATAGGTTTTGATCTGTTATTCAACCACCAATCTGATGCTAAAATGAACTCAATGCAGCATTGTGTCAAAAATATCTTCTGCCAACACATCCAAGATATCATTACTGCTTTGCGTTTTATTTCTATGTCTGTTTTTGTGTCAAAATGACAAAATCCTAGGCTATTGCTAAAATGTAGTGATTGTTTCAGATGGGTCCTTAAATCTGATGCACATCCAACATTTGTACACAAACACAAAGGTTTGTGTTACTCAGATCATTGAGTTACAGGAATTTGATGAATGAATATAAGAAAATATTTTTATTTAGTAGCAAACTATTTTGCCTTATGATAAATTAAATACCCATAATAAATTCTGATCAGTCATGGAGTAATGCATTATTTAAGATATTTTTACCCAAATATCATTTCCTGCCTCTCAATTGATGTTAGTGCCTTGAAATCTTCCTTCTCATCTCATCAGATATGAAAGGGTAAAGAATGAGCCTCACACTAGAACAAGTACCACACAGTCAGAGCTGGACCTTCACAGTGTGCATGGACCAGCAGTCCCAGCAGCGCCACTTCCTGGTCCCACTTCAGATGTCCAGCTTGTCGCAGCATGTGCAGACGTGCCACATGAACAGGCGCCATGCTCCGTTCTGAATACGAGGGACTCCACAGAACCACTAGTTTGAATTTAAAGCTGCACATAAAAGTGAAGGAATAGAAAACCTGAATGAAATGCATCTCAATAAATAGTAAAAAATATAAAAATATAAAAACTGTGTGCTGTAGCGTTCTCACGTTTCCAGGGTCACTCAGCTCCCACAAGAGCGAACCGGAAGCATCTGCTGGCTCTGATGTCTGATTTTGCTCTGGTGGAAATCTTCTACCTCCATCACATTCCACATGGATAAAGGATGTACTAAATGATGCTAAACTGGAGAAAACATGGAGCTAACTGGGAAGTTTCATGACGGAAACATGGGTTTAATCTTACATTCATCTCAGACAGACTGCTCAACTATAATGAGCAACAGTTTAGCCAACTACATTTTGGTTTATTATCCACTGTGTGTTTTTATTTTCTAGTTTATTTTTTCCCCTTTTGGTTTAGTTTTTATATTTAGTAGTTTTCCTGTTACTGGTTTGTTTGATTTCTCTGCTGAAATCACAGCGGCGTGTATTATCACTGCTCTAACAGATTTCAGTGATGTTCTGAATGCCTTTAACAGATTGTTCAAAAATGCTCTCTATCATTTCTAAGAGACATTTCAGGCTTCTGTAGATCATGTTCATTTCCCGACACTCAAAACTTAATTGGATCTAATTTTGGAGAAATTACTGCATCTATTCAGCGAGGAACAGAGGCGAGGTGCAGCAGGAGTCGCGGTATCTTTCATGACGGCCCTTCAGGTCAGCTGTGTTGTTGGGTTTGACGTTTCTCATCTTCCTCTTGTCAATACTCCACAGATTGTGTCTACTGGATTCAGGTCAAGCCACATAATGTCCACTGGAGCAGATTTTGGTACCGTTGGCAGTGTGATCCTACTGGAGCATAAAATCAGCATTTCCATAAAGCTGATCAGCAGATGGAAGAATGAAGTTCTTTAAAACTTCATGGTAGAAAACCGGATGTCTTCTGGACAAATGGGCAGCCTACTCACCCAAACAAAGACCGTTTAGATCGGGGGCGTCAAACTCCTTTTCGTTTTGGGCCAAATCAAGACCATGAATGCTCTTAAAGGGCCGGTTGTGCCAGAATGTATTAATAAAACCTGTTCACACTTTTATATTCTTAAATTTAAATAATATTATTGAACATCTTTTCAGTGTTTGTGGTAATAATTTGGAAATATTTGCAATATTTGCACTTATTCGTGACGGTAAATGCGACCTTTTGTTACTCACTGTTAGATTATAGACATCAATCAAGGCTGAGGCAGCTGATTAGTACAGGTAAGAACATTTTTTACCATAATTTGAGAAAATTCTGCAATAAACAATGTATTGGTGCAAAAAAGCGCAGGAATTTGTTGATTTTGTGTGAATGTCCACGATAATTCTCAAGAAACTGCAGGGACTGATTGATATAATTTGGCAGTAAATAGATGAAAACTGCATTGATTTGACTGATAATATTTTAGCACAATTAGTGCTTAGTCTAGAATCTAGAAGGCCACATAAAAAGCTACGGTGGGCCAGATTTGGCCCACGAGCCTCGAGTTCAGAAAATCTTTGCCAAATTGATGTTAATTGTATCTAACTTTTAAAAACATTGATTTTTGGGTTTTTGTAATCTGTAAGCAATAATCATCAAAATGACAAGGATTAAAGGGTTGAAATCATTCTCCATGTGCAACGAATCTACTGTTGATTTCTGAAAGGACTGACAACAAAGTTTGAATTTCTGTATGAATTTCTCACTTTTTTGATGCATCTCAAATCTCTATCCAAATTTTAAAGTCTGTGAATTAAAGTCAATGTGAATCATGGCAAAAATGTCTTTACTTTTTCCATCAAGATTGCTATAAAACAGCTAAAATATGACGTTTCTCAAGCAAACCAGGCAAAAAGTGTGAAAATAAAATCTGCTTCACTTGGATGAGCAGAACTAAAAACTGCTGAATAATGTGGAAACAAGTGACAGGAGGAATCCAGACTTCTTCCAGAGCAAAGGACACTGCTTTATCTGCAGCAGATTGCAGGATGTAAGTTGGGTTATACAGCCTCCGGCGATACTGTTGATTAGTACGACAGAGACACAGATGTACAGATGGAGCTCGGTGTGCTTGGTGTTTCCTGAAACAGCCCACAGAGACTGAAGCAACACATTACCCAACTGTCATGTTGGACCAGAAAGCAGAGCGGTCTTAACACCGCTAGCAATCCTTATGCTAACGGTATTTTTAGTATAACTGAATCAGAGTTTATTGCAATCTGGGTGCCAGAGAAAAAGACACAGGAGTTAGCGTTGGGATAACACAGCTTGTAAAAGCCCATCCTGGAACATGTGATTGGATTCACATTCAGGCGGACTGTAATCTACTCTGAAAGCAGGTGTTATAAATCAGGCTAAAGAAAATGCTAATAACACCTTACTGAAACACGGCCACTGAAAACGGGGCAAAATAACAAGGTGAGTGAGTTATCATCATTCAGCAACACCCACATTATCCATCACATTAATGCAGACATACAGGAATACAGTAGAGATGAGTATAGGGGGCGCTGTTGGGCATGTGACCTTTATCTGGTCACCCAGTCACCAGGGCAACCAGATTCAGACAATACACCTGGATCGATGTGATATTATTTACCTTACGCCCCTTTTACACAAAGCCGCTCTTCAGAAAAACCATTACAGTTTTGTTATGATTTAGCCGCTTGCTAACATCTCCACTGATCGGAGTCTCTGGTACTTTTTGAAACCGGGTCCGATAGTGAAACTTTTTGGGAACATATCCTGATGATGTAAAGTACTCTGCAGGTGATTCTTAACTTTTCTAATTTAACAAAACTTCTAATAAGAAATACAAATATGTTACCTGAGAACTTGGTTCGTCGGAGACGTGTTACTATTTTCTAAATGAAGTGGAAGCCAGTGAGGTAAAAGCTAAGGGAGCACTTTTTGACATTATGTTAACATTGCAGTGCCGCCTAGTGGCCTGGAATGAAAACTACAGCAAACACAAGGCGTATCCATCTAAACACCAAACGTTCCCCAAAACAACATAAAAAAAAGTAAATACTGGCAGTTTCCTTTCAGTGGTTTAGTGAAAACAAAACCTTAGTATTATTAAATCAGCAGCTTGATGGTTTATTCTCATCCAACTATGGAAAAGAATAAGATAAATATTCCTGTATTTTACTGAAAAAAATATCTATCATTAAGTTCTATTTTCAGAAGTGTTTAACACTGATCTATGATAATCTTTCAATTTTTACAGCCACTGTACTTTAGTGGAAATATGATTTTTCGTCATAATGTTTACATTGTACACTGTAGTTTGGATATTTAAAGGGACAGTAACATGTATTTTCCAGACACACTGCCATTTTATAGCACAGGCAAGTAAGAATTATATATATATATATATATATATATAAATTTGCAAATTGATGCCTCTGTCTCTTTAAGAAGCCCCTGATCTCTCATCACAGCAATCCTTCTCAAAATGCCATTTATGAGCGTTGGACTGAGAAGAAGTTCATAAACTCAAGATGCATGAAAGAATCAAAACAACAATCCAATTATGTTTTTTGATGAGGGAATAATTTATAACATGATATAAAGCTCAAAAAAGTTTATTTTAAATTATGCCTGTGTCGACTTATGCCCATCCAGATGTTTTGCATTTACTTTAAAAACCACTAATTACGTTAAAGGGAGAAGGTTAAACGTTTTGGACCTGAAACTGACCTTCAGTCCAAGCGTGCTGCTCGATGTACGAGTGCACCGTCATGCTGTCCAGCTCCGCCGCGTTGGGGGTCCTCAGTGGGTCCTGAACAGACACCGTTCTGCACAGCCTGTCAAACTGAGAACAGCGTATAATCAGAACCCGACATGACAGTTCACCGCCTTGAAGACAAAACGCACACATTGATACGGACAGAAGAGGAGGGACGACCAGAGGCTGCACCACTCACACTGCTGCTCTAAAGCGTCTGAACCAGACTGGAGCTGCTGTGCTACGTTGTTATGTCAATCCAAAGAGCTCACTCTGCTCCAAACAACTGTGGCACCAACATTCCAAGATATAAACCTCTCGAGGTTTGAATTTGGAGAGCTGGGGTTTACTCAGCTTGACTCTCACCTTCCACAGCATCTGGGTGAAGTCCAGCAGCACCAGCGGAGACAGAGCAGGGATGCTGGTCCGGTAGGATCTCACTTTGGAAGTGGGCCCACCCACGTGAAGCACCTTCTTCCCGACATTAAACTGAGGATACACCTCTAACCCCAACTCTTTTATGAGCTCCATAATGTGTGTTTGTGTGCTGTGAGGGGAAAAAAATAATAATAAATAAATAAAAAATGTTAGGAATCTTCATAAAAGAAAATCCTTGAGTAACCAGAAAAATAGATTAAAGCTGGGTAAAAAAAAAAAAAACACACACAAAAAAAAATACAACCATGTTTACTGTAAGAGATTCTGAGTTGAATCTCTGCATTCTTCACTTTGTGGGTCCGTTTTCTATGAAATGTCCTTTTCTCTCGTCTATTTGTCAGATTAGCTTGAAACGCGTTGAAGGCTAAATCAGTTGCAAGTTAAGAGTCACAAAGCCCTGCAAAGTTATTCAATTCCCTTTTCACATATTTTTTGCAAGTGTGTATGTTTTATTGAGATTTTACGTGACAGGCCAGAAAAAAGCAGTGAAAATTTGTTAAGTGGAAGGAAAATAACACATGGCTTTTAAAACGTTTAACAAATTAAATCCCCTCTGAGTCAGAACTTTTACAGCACCTCCAAAATTTTCAATAATCAATTTAACACAAAAATATACTTTGAGATAAATTCTGTATTTTTAGACTAACACTGTATTTAACGTCACACAGCTTCTATATTCCTGCTCAAAAAATACATCTCCACACCATGATACTGCCACCACCGAGTTCCACTGTGGAGATTACATGTTATAAGATTCAAATATTATTAATGATTCATTTTGTTTCAGTGATTGAAAAGCAAAGCTCATACCGTTTAGAAGATTTGGTGAAAACATATTCACATTTTGGTTAATTTAGATTATTCTGGATTACAGACAATTGAAACAAGCACAAATATACAGTTTAAGTTATTTCAAGGCCTAAACAATAGGCCAGTTGTACAGTTGTCACTTCTTTAAAAGGTAGAGCCATCAGTAAAAGCCTGGCAGTTCAAAGAGTACACATATGGGAAAGTTTGGTGGAAGGTAAAAGTCCCTCTCAGCCACAGCAGGGAACAAAAGACAGATAAAAGTTTTAAAAAGTGAATTAAGAATAACTTACTGTACATTAAATGCTTTACAGTTCTTCTAAATACTCAACTCATTCCAAAGAAATGTGCAACAAGTAGGATTATTTTCAAAAAATTTCAAATGTGCATGAGTATTTCTGCATTAAAATCAACATATTGATAGAACTATGCAAACAGTACAAAAAACAGCATGAATGCTACATGAGATGAGGAAAAATGTTATGAATCTTTTCCAACATTTTTTCCTTCCACTCAACTTTCAATTAATATGCTTGAATACTGAACAGCTAACTTCTTTAGAGATTATCTTTTGTAATCCCCAAGATTGCTTGGCCATGACATACCATTACTGTATTCAGTCAGTGTTCTTGTTGTCGTTTGCCATTCACACTTTCAAAAATTTTCCTTTTCAAATTGAGTTCCTAAAATAAATTAACTTTTTAGATCACACTAATTGGAAATACATCTGGAAAGCTGAGCGTAGAATCATCTTCAGGATCCTTAGTCAAGAGTTCTTATATAAATGAGCAATTATGTGTCTAATCTGTTTGTGTGATGGATATTGATCCTCCCTAATCCCCACTCGGAGTTTTCAAGGGTTTTATTATTAACAGCTCACCTCTTATCTTTTTCTAATGGTCCCAGGAAACCGGAGACAAACACCTCCCTGTCAGCTCGCAGGTGTTAAAATCAGCTCATCTTTATTCCGACTTAATTATGCATAGATTAAAGAAAGAAGGAAAAAGTCTCATGTGTGGCTTTAATTACCTTCCGACCCACTGTCCTCCAAAGTCCCAGCGATCAGCACCGTCGGCTGCTGGGATTTCAAAGGACACGGTGCGTCCTCCCACTCGATCTGACAGAAACACAAGCAGTCATGAAGCAAACAACACACTTCAAGGCTTCACTCTCCCCATGCAGGATGCAAAGTTCCCCACCTTTCCCCTCCAGGATCAGGATTCTCAGCTTGGCGTCCCGTTTTGTGAGCAGATGAGCCGCACTGAGCCCAGACAGCCCGGCTCCGACTATAACAACATCCCAGATGTCGGCCGTCATGTTGGAAGTTCAGGTGAGTCTAATGTTTTGGGTCCAAAAGTTAAACACGGTTGTCACTAATGCGAGGTGACGTTTCACGCACCTGAAACGCTGATTGGCTGAGAGTTTTCCGTAGGAGCGGTGGGTCTAATCCTTAACGGTCAGCCGGTGTGGGACTCGGACCATGGGAGGAGTTTTCATCTTAAAATGAAGAGGATGACATCAAGAATGACCTGCTGGAGACATTTGTTAAGTTTATTATGTCATTAAGTATTGATATTGCACATCTATCAGTCAATCCAATTCAGTTCATTTTGAAATGAACACAAACAGATTTTAGTTGATTGGTTATTCTGTAAACTCTCAGATCTCAATCCAATTGAGAATCCATAGGAGGAGTCCAATCCATGAAGTCCCCACTTAGGAATTTTTAGGATTTAAATGATGTGACGCAAAGTCAGTGAAAAAATGAAGTTGTGTGTAGAATCTGTTAACCTGCACATACATGAGACTGAAATACGGTGCAACTCATGAGTAACACCAACAGCTTGCTCTGCTCCATCTTGGCATCTTCAGCAGCAGACTCGTTCCATCATTAAATGCCGCAGCGAGTTTCCATATGCTGCTTTTTCTGTGGCGCCTCCATGATCGGCTGGTGTGCAACAGGATTTAAAAGATGCCATCTTTACTGATCAGCTAAGTGTCATTACTTTAGCACTGCTACTTACCATATAATCAGTTAGCTCGTTAGACATTAACAGCAGAGGTTGTAAACAGTGCACAGGTTAACAGATGGGGAAAAGTCAGGAAGCATCAGTTCAGAACCATTCCTACTTGCTTAATGAGAGTATTTCTGTGCTTTGCATCATAACTAGTGTCAAACTCTAAACCTTTACACAGGAAGAAAAATCACTTGATCATCTATGTAAAAGTTTACACCCCTCCCTTTTGAGAGCATTAGAAATAACTTCCAATTCTTTTCCACATATCTTGGATTAAAACTGAAAGAAAAGAAAGTAAACTAAATGTAATAACCCAGTTGCCTTCACACAGTGAGTGTATCAACCCTTAATCCAAAAGCAAACACTCTAACTTTTTCAGACTGTGAAGACATCGCTTGTCCACAGCCTTTTTCAGGTGGTCTCACAGATTTTTCTCACAAATATAGTTCTGGTCCTTGGTCAGGTCATTCTGAAGCATCAGTTTTCCTCTCTTGACGTGATTCTTTTGAAATATCCTGGAGTCACAGTGCTGCTGAAAATGAAACTTCTTTTCATTTTCAGGTTAGCAGACAACTGAAGGTTTGTTATTTGTGTGCTAAATGTACCGTTTTGGAAATGTTTAAGTTTAAGTGTGGTTTCATCAGTCCGTGACACAATCTTCTTTAATGTTTTGTTTGACTTTAGTTAGGTGTAACACAAAGGTTAGGCATTGGTAGGCCTGTCACAGTAACAAATTTTGCTGAGCGATTGTCCCAAAAATTATTGTGATAAATGATAATATTGTTTGAAGACTACTTTACAATGATTTAATGGAACCAACGTAAAAATGCATGCGATTTCCCGCCAAAGATAGATACACTTTATTTTCAAAAGAACACTTAACACTGTAACTGATAAACAAAATACACAAAAATGTTCCCCTTAAATCTTAGAACGTTGGCCGATCTAAGATTGTCGCTGGCGATTTCGTAACCGATCATCATGAAGTGTGTGGTGTGTTACGGTAGATTGTCGTGGCCGCTCTGGTCTAAATTGGGTTTTTTCCCCGACTGGGAGCTTAAAGCAGCCAGTTGGATGTGACAGGTAACCAGTCAGAAAGCGCAGATTCTCCTCCGTGGTTACTGAAAGAAAATTAAGGAGGGGAATCCCAAACAGCTAACACATCGCAACCCGAAATCTAGCGGACATTGGAGATGATATGTGGAACAGGCGCAGAGCTATGGGGGGAGATAAGGGGGTGGCTGCCCCCCGGATGGGTGTCTATGGGGACCCAGGTCTGGAGGAGCCAGGGAAGGAGGAATAATTTCAAGTCAAGTTTCTGATTATAGACTGAGTGCGCCCTCGCCTGTTCAGAAAGATGTATGTAATGTTAAAGTTACTGTCCCTCAAAGAAATATATAGTAGTCAGTCCCAGTGACTGTTTGACTCACGGTTTAGCCAATGTGCTTCCTGGGTAAAAATGAAACGAGAAACCCAGCCCAAACCACCGTTCACCAGAGAGGAAAGTGGGATCTCCTGAGCTGCATTCAAGTCTGAAAAGGAGTCGTTGACAAGGCTCTTCTCAGGATTCTGGTCCAGGCTGAACGAGGGATGAGCATCCGGATGGTTTTGTTTAAGGTGAAGAAAATTCTGCAGGTTTTTACCACAGAAAGATCCTGGCAGCAGAAATGAAGAATTTAAACCTTTAAACCTGTGAGAAAAGTTGGAGACGTGTCATAAAACCCAGAAGAACTGGTCAGATGTTGGACCTTGAACTAAATGATTCTCTGAAAACTAAATGCAGAAATAGAGCTGGCAGTAGAAATACTAAATGCTGATTGGTTAAAGTTTTACAGCTTTATAAACAGACGGATTACAAACTGATATGAACACGATGCAAACATTGGACTCTCTGCTGTCATTATAGAGCAGTTAGGAAACAG